CCCGTGAGGAAAAAAATGTTACTTGCAACTTACACGGCTCTCATCCTCCAGGTTTCTTCGGGCCTCCTCCAGTTGTGTGGTGAACTGCTGCTTCAGTTTGCCCAACTGGCTGACCTGAGACTCGGCCTCCTCCAGTTGGCGCATCATGTCGGACACCTCTTGAGTGGAGCGAGATTTGCCCGAGCTGAGATCGGCGATGTGACGATTGCTGTCGTCCAGTTTGGCCGACATCTCTGACAGCTGAGCCTCCAGAGCCTTGATGGTCTTTTCAGCGTTCATCTGGTTGGGTTTAAGAGGTCAAGAGCGGCAAGAAACGGAAAAAAACGTGTAGACGTACTTCAAACTGGGGTCTGAAAATCGGGTTGGATGTAAACAGACCATGAAAGTATGTAGAGTGAGTATAGTTCAATAGGTTTAATAAAGCTTGAAAAAGAATTGATAGATTATGATTTACAACGACCTCATCATACTACCCAATTTCATATGAGCTCACTTTATCGGAAGTGTTTTATCCATCTTCTCATTTGCAACCCCTTCGCGATTCGAAAACTGCTCTTTCAAGTGAAGTGACAACAAGTCGCCACTTCACCACACTTTTGCTTGAATGTCAAAACAAACTAGACCTTTCTTAATTGAGGCTGCTTTTTACCAACGATTTGCTGATTTACTGAAACCGTCTACTTATTATGTGACTAGTAACACGGTAAGTTTTATTGACAAATTCAAGGTTTCCTCAACAACAATTACGCCAGATATTTGATTTTTGCAAAGTCCCAGTTACCTTAAGCCTCTGGAACATATTGGTCAACCTAGCTGTGACTAATTTGCGCGCATGACTTGGGTTCGAGTCCCGCCTGGGAAACTGGTAAGAAATGCATTGATGCTGTGAGAACTTTCGAATGAATTTTGGAAAATTCATTCATTAGTTCTTCTTTAAGGAAGGCCAATGCATTCCGTCTTTCTAGCATAGGAAGCATCAGAAAGGCCAGTGACTGTCGGATTTGTTGAATAACTACTTTTCGTTTACAAGTAGTGTATCTAGACCGCCAGTAAATCAGCAATATGAGATGTATTCACCCTATTCCGGTTAAGATGATGAAGGACCGTTAATTGAATTTTCCCACAATCAGATGAGTAGAGCTGACGTTTCTATTTCATTTCGCATTGTGGGAAAATTCTACTACCAGTCCTTGATCACCTTAAACGAAATAGGATGAATACATATCATAAAACAGATTTACTGGTAGTCTCGAAAGCCTACTTATGAACGAAAAGTAAGTAATGTAGCCGATTGTGATGGTAAATATAACAGTGCTCCATCGACCCTCCCCACCACAGAATGTGGTATGGGAAAATGTCTGGCCTCCTTTGAAAGTCACATCTGCCTTGTGATCCAAGGTTACTAGTGACATTGTGCCGTAGTCAGGGTTCTACTTCCACTGGGGATGTGACACGAGTTATGAGAGGTCGAGACTGTAGTCCACCCTGAATGGGAACACCTTTGGGGAAATCAAGACTAAATGAAATTGAATGAAAGGATCAGCTTAACTCATGTGACTGTGGTAAAATTTATCTACCATCACTTCTTCACCTTAAATAAACTGGGGTGAACACAACTCATGTAATGGCCATGTTTGTTGGTGAGTGGTGGTGCAAGTTGACAAGATGACTAGACGATCATTTACCTTGATCTTGGTGAGTTGGTCAATTTGTCCATGCAGATCATCCAGCTCCCCTTTGAGATCGTTTCGCTCCTTTTCGGCTCTAGATTTGGGGAAAAAAGCCAAAATAACAACATCAGGAGGAGCAAAAAACGAAGCTAGTCTATTACAATCCTGTGATCCCCATTTGATGGAGTTAAATGTTACGTCTGTTGATGCCGATATGGTAACTCAACGGAGAGTCATATCCACGAAAGTGTCACTCTTGCCAGAAAAACCGGCCATTTCGGCACTTCAGAGGGTCAGCTCATTCTGTATGCCATTGCAACGTACAACAGAGAGGCTGATTGTAAAACCCTGAAAGTGTAAAATCATCTCCTCATCGAACTGTACCACTACCTTGCCGACACAAGTGGTCATGCCAACCGGCCGGGTGTGGAATCGGATGAATATGCGGCAATGTGAATGCATCACGTGCCGGCAAAATCATGGGAACACACTCTTTTTGTTGGCCGATTGGCGGCACAAACTCACCTGCCTCTTGCCTTGTTCGACTGGTCCAGTTGGTCAGAGAGCTCATTCACTGAGTCGCTCTGCTTTTTGCGCATGGCCGCAATCTGTTGTTCATTTTGGAGGCGAGCATCCTCGAGATCGCGTTTCAGCTTCATCAATTCTGCCTCACGTTTCTTGTTCAGGTCAACCTGTTGGGCTGTAGCACCGCCCTGCTCCTCCAAGCGATCTGCCATCTCCTCCAGTTCAGACTCGACCTACAAGACAATTGTGAATATGTGAATTCTGCATAATCATATTTTGAGCACAAAATAAGATCAGAACATAGTCAGACGGGCAAACTGGCGCTAACTGGGCCCATTCTCGACTGACTGAGCCAGAGCTAGTGAAAGGACTTCAGAGAAGTTAGACCTTTTACAAGGACTTCTCGAGGTCTCCTATTCACAAACGGCAACATGTTCATCTGCATCAAATCTACAAGGTTGTGCCATTCAATTCATATTAACAACTAAACACAACAGTTGTTGGTCATCAAGGTTGAATGACCCAAAATAATGGTATGACCGTGGTTACATAATCGCGAGTGAGCTTCGGAAGAAATACGTTTTCTTGACTCGTCAGCTTCAATTTGGTTGTGACGATGATACCTTGCTCTAATGATGTCTGTCATATGACCTTTTTTACCAAAATCGAAGGAGATAACCTCGGAAACAGCGTCATCATGAATGTTCCAGTAAAGCCAATCGACAGTTGGTCAAGAGGAATCCGCCGTCGTCTTCTGGTGAAATCGACCTTCGAATCTACTCACTTAACATGGAATAAAACTCAACTATTATGAAATAAGAGATTCCTCGAAACCCAACTTTTCTTCGCATAAAAGACGTTACTTTTGCTGTCCTAATTAATTTGAGCCATCACTGCGGATGTCGTGCATGAGCGAACACAAAAAGGTGCATAGACATACAGCGACAGACACATTCACAGACTTCAAAGTTGACATATGACCGTAACTAACCGAATCACTTTATACTTTATCAAAGAGGCCAGATGTAGAGTATATATACCACTTTTTTGGGATTTGCCGGTGAGTTTTCCTGACTCGTTAGCTTCAATTTGGTTTGACGATGTTACCTTACTCTGATGATGTTCGTCACATGACGGTGAAAGGTTATCACCTTTTCACCGGAATCAAAGGATATCACCTCGGAAACAAAGTCGGCATGAATGTTCCAGTAAAACCAATCGACAGCTGGTTAGGAGGAATCCGCCGTCGTCTTCTAGTGGAAGCGAACTTCGAGTCTCTTCACTTTCACTTGCAATCGAAATAAGCTCTACAATTGTGAAACAAGACATTCCTCGAAACCCAACTTTTCTTCGCAGAAATGAGTATTGTTACGTTTCGGTGCGATATCCACGTGAGCCGAAAATCCTTGTATCCGAGCCCGTATATAATGCCAGCTGGTTCCTTGCCCAAATACTCTTACGAATATTGTATGTAGGCGATACCCCAATCATGCACAATTCAACAGTCGTCACTCAAGTCCAAGTCAATCCAGCCTTGGTTTAGGATGAGACCAATTCACGAATTCTTTGCAACCAACTTTTTCCTACCAATCAAAAGTCGTCACAAGAACTCATTGGAACAGCCTTAGAAACCCAACTTTTATGTATACATCTCATCATTCGTTTGGCTGCCGAATGCTCATTTTGCATGTGTGAAGATGGGTCAAATCGACGCAAGGAAAGGAAGTGGATGTGGTCGCATCTGTTTCCTCACATAATGTAGACTACTGTTGGATCCGATATTGTTGACAAATTTTGGCATACAGTTGCAACTCGGTTTAGGCGTTAGGGTCTCTCTCTCTCTCTTCTGGTAACTTAAACACGTACCAACGTTACGACGCACTCACACGTGTGTGTGTGTGTGTGTATAAGGACCCTGAACAATATAAAAGAGGACTAACCAACTCTTTCTATATCCATCTGTCTATCCATCCATATACCTCTATTTTTGCTTCTAGTCATGTGTATATACAGAAAGTCTGCTTGGTGTGACAACTTTTGCAGGAAGCAAGGGAGGAGGTCTCGTAGACTGTGTCAGCCTGAAGATGGTAGTAAAGTCAGACGGGTGTAGAACATCTTCATCATCTACTTTGTCTACGAAGTACAAGTCTCCGCAACAATGTCATCACAAGAGAATAAATTAGGCCCAATTAGGCATCGTATAGACACAAAAGATGTATGCTCTCTCGGCGCCCAACTGACCTGCTGACGAGCCTTCTCCGATTTGGAGCGCGCGGCACGTTCGGCTTCGAGGTCCTCTTCAAGCTCTTGAATCCTGGTCTGCAGCTCCTTTATCTTGCGCTGCAGCTGGGCCACAATGCTCTGTTCATCCTCAAACTTGCCACTCAACCCGTTGATTTCGGCCTCTTTGCGCTTCAGTTGCTCCTCGAGGTCACGCTTCACACGCTCCAGGTCGTCCACCGTCTCTTGGGTCGCCTTGAGGTCACCCTCCAGCTTCCGCTTCGTCTTCTCCACGTCGCCGCGGATCTTCTGCTCTCGCGAAAGGTTCTCCTCCATCTGAAGGTTGAAGAGGAAGAGTGTTACATGTCGGTGAGTTGAGAGAACCGGATTTGCATGGAAATGTTTGTGAATAGGAAGTGAAGATAAAAAATAGATAAGGCTCACCTCATCGAGAGTGGACTCCAGCTTCTGCTTCAGTTTGTTAAGGTGGTTGACTTTATCTTCTTCCGCCTGAAGAGCTTCTTGCGTTCGTTTGTTCTGCTCCTCCATGGCCTTTTTGTCCTTATTCAACTTGGCGATTACCTCGTCCTGTTGGGCCATTTCACCCTGAAGCGTCTTAATCTGGTTGTCTTTGGTCTGTTTCTCTTGTTCAGCCTTTTGCAGGGAAGACTCGAGATCCTCAACGTCCTTTTTCAACTCTTCAATTTCTCCCGTCATCTTCTTCTTCAACTCTTCCGACTGTCCAGCAGACACTTCCTCGTCAGCGACACGTTCCTCCAACTCCTTTATCTGCTGTTCCATGTCG